TGTGTGAGTGCACATAAGTAATCAAGTCTGCAATGTGTGAGTTATCATGCTATTCACACAAAAGTTACCGGGGGGATATTTAATCAACCCCCACTTCCCATGCCAAAGTTATGAGGACCGCGATACATAAGTTATTAGGTTTGTGATGTGTGAGTCACCAACTTAACATCCTATTCACATAAAAGTTACCACGGGGATATTTTATCACCCTCCCTCCCCGGCGCCAAAGTTACCAGGACCGGGGTACATAAGTTATCAGGTATGTGATGTGTGAGTTACCGTGCTATTAGGCTTTGCTAACTTCCGATCGTTCCGCTTTTAGTAAACGGATCCGAACGACATGCAGTCAAACAATGCATATATTACCATGTTATTTACACAGAAATTATCGGGGGATGTTATCAACATTTTTTCATTGGATCAAAGTTACCGCGGTGTTTGTACAAAACTTATAAGGTCTACGGTGCATAAATTAGCATGTTATATGCACAAAAGTTACTGGAAGGTGTGTTTTCGGGTCTGCGATGTGTAAGTTAGCATGTTATTTACACATAAGTTCCTCAGATCAAAGTTACCACGACGTCTGTAAGTCAATTAACATGCATGAGGTGCATAAATTGCCGTGCTATTTACACACAAATTACCGAGGATGTGTTTCAATGAAAAAATCCCACGTGAAAATCATGTACATATGAGTTTGTCGTTTACGTGTACCTATTTTATAGCCAGAAGGGTTAATGAAAACCTAGGTTGATGGGTTCTTTTTTTCAAGTTTGTATTTTCAATGATGTACAAAAAGTACCTATACCTAGTCATAAGAGAGAATTAGTCAAGCGATCCTGAAACGTCATCTAGTAGGCTCAAATCCCACTAGCTGTTTTTTTTTCTTTTCTTTTTCACTCGCATTTAGTATTGATACAAGGTCAAATAAAGTACTTGGATTTCATAAGACACAGACTACTCGTTGGCGGGTTGGTTATTGACCTCATCTTCGGATGAAGAGGCCACGATTCGAATCCTATGGAGGGTATTTATTTTTGCAGACGACATGTATTCTGTTCCCTGACTGAGATCGTACGCGCCTATTGCTAAACTACAGTCGACTGTAATTTAGCTTTACCGTTTTCTCATACATAAACAAAATAGAGTTCACGCTTTAGGCCCATCCTCGATGAGATAAAAATGAAGTCAGCATGCTATTCAACGCTTCACTAGGACCCTTTTCCGCCCCTATCCCTCGGCGACTAGGATAAACTCTCCCCTTCAAATTTGGCCAATGAGTCTATAGATTCGTCTCTGTCGAAATATATTGCCCGTCTTTTATCAATTTGGACTTTTAGATGAGTTGGCTTGTGCATGAATTCAATATGATATCCGAGCCAAAAGGTCTTGAGTTCAAAATCCTGCCAATGTAGTATTAAATAAAAATGATTCGACGGGCTACATCTATCCCATGCCTAAGGACTAAAATAGCCTAGACGTGAGGGGGAGTGTTTAAATATATTGCCCCTCTCCCTTCATCAATTCAGGTGCAGCGCTCTTGCGGATGACGGTGCTTCTTCTGTTGGGGAACGTAGTAATTTCAAAAAAATTCCTACGTACACGCAAGATCATGGTGATGCATAGCAACGAGAGGGGGAGAGTGTGATCTACGTACCCTTGTAGATCGACAACGGAAGCGTTAACTTGGTTGATGTAGTCGTACGTCTCCACGGACCGACCGATCAAGCACCGAAACTACGGCACCTCCGAGTTCTAGCACACATTCAGCTCGATGACGATCCCTGGACTCCGATCCAGCATAGTGTCGGGGAAGAGTTCCGTCAGCATGACGGCGTGGTGACGATCTTGATGTTCTACTGTCGCAGGGCTTCGCCTAAGCACCGCTACAATATTATCGAGGACTATGATGGAAGGGGGCACCGCACACGGCTAAGAATATGATCACGTGGATCAACTTATGTGTCAAGGGGTGCCCCCTGCCCCCGTATATAAAGGATCAAGGGGAGGAGGCCGGTCGGCCCTCTATGGCGCGCCAAGGAGGAGTCCTCCTCCTAGTAGGAGTAGGACTCCTACTAGGAGGGGGAAAGAAGTGGGGAGGGAGAGGGAAAGGGGGGCGCCGCCCCCCCCTCTCCTAGTCCAATTCGGACCAGGGGGGGAGGAGGCGCGCGACCCACCTTTGGCTGCCCCTCTCTCTCTCCACTAAGGCCCATATGGCCCATTACTTCTCCCGGGGGGTTCCGGTAACCCTCTGGCTCTCCGGTTTTCTCCGAAATCACCCGGAACACTTCCGGTGTCCGAATATAGCCGTCCAATATATCAATCTTTATGTCTCGACCATTTTGAGACTCCTCGTTATGTCCGTGATGACATCCGGGACTCCGAACTAACTTCGGTACATCAAAACTCATAAACTCATAATATAACTGTCATCGAAACCTTAAGCGTGCGGACCCTACGGGTTCGAGAACAATGTAGACATGACCGAGACACGTCTCCGGTCAATAACCAATAGAGAAACCT